AAAATGCTATTAGGATTTCCTTTGTATCAAAACACATGACTTGTTTTATGAAATAGAACAGACTCCCATGTGTATAACTTTGCAAACTCAAGTCATAAATTCTTTTTAAACCATATTCAAATTTTAAGCTTCAAATTGTTTTCAAATGCTAAGAAAATAAACTGACAGAGTTAAGGGAAACCATTTTTTTTTTCTTCCTGCTACCTAGGTGGCATTTAGGCTAACTTTACTACAATGGCTTCAGTGGCCTTAAAGGTGGTCTGAACCCTCTTGCTGTCCCCGCCTCCGAGCCTGTCCATGCTGCACAGGCCCACCGTGAGGCCAGCTGGGGGGAGGGGGCACCCTCACAGAGAGGAACCCTGCGGCGCCTCACCTTCTGGGAGAGAGACACGCTGCCTGACTCAGAGCTCTGATGGCTGAGAAGAGGCTTATGGCATAGCTTCACACACACAGACACACACACACACACACACACACACACACACTTCTGTAGGATTTTAGAGCCTCACAAGAAATATGAAATGAAACCAAATTGAATAAAACAAATCTCCTTTTAAATGTTTAATAAATGGTGACAGACTAAGTTTCTTTGAGGCCCTCCCATTTCCTCTGTGTTTTTAGGGAGCTACAAATCCCCCACAGGCCAAAGATCGGGCTTCCCAGCAGGAGTCCCAAGGTCAGCATCGTTCCAACCCATCCCCTGCTCATCCCTTCAAGGCCCAAACATGTCCTGCTGGCCTCTGACCTGGGGTCAAGGTCGTGGCCCCAGCACAGCACCATGCGAGGTTTCTGTGCTGTCTGCTTCATGTTTTATTCATTCATTTATATTCTGCCCATCAACTACTTTCAATTTTCAGATGAAAATGCCAGAACCCGAGCCAGTGTCCTGCCTCTGAATCCAGTGCTCCTCTCAGCACATGGTGCCATCAGCTATCAGTCTGAAAGATGGGCCTGAGGTCTGCTTCGCGTGGCATCGTGTCACCTGGTGGTCTTAGAGTTCTATTTTCTATCATAGATCAATGTAGTGTGATAGTTAAGAACACGAGCCTGACCCTGTAATTTCCTGGCTGAGTGACTTTGGGCAACTTACTTAGCCTCTTTGTGCATCAGTTTCTTCACCTGTAAAATGGAAATAATGATAGTTCACAAACCTCAGTGCAGTTGCAAAGATTCAGTGACTATTTGTAAAACTCAAAGCAGTGCCTAGCACACAGTAAGTGCTATCATCTAAGTGTTTCTTCAAGTTCCAAGATAATAATTTAATACTCGTGTCAAACACCTTGCTACGGTTCATCTTAAGAGCTGAGAATGGACTTTGGAGTTGGACCTCGGTTTGAATCCCAGTTATATCATCTACAAGCTTCTTAGAAGTCAACTTAAAAGTCAACTTTTAGAAGTTTAACTTTTGTTGGCTTCAATTTTCTTGTCTGTTAAAAAAAGGTGGGGGGAGTGTGGGTGTGCATGTGTAAAATACTCTGTGCCCTGAAAGGCTGCCTTAAGGATGAGGCGCTATGGCTGCAAAGCCCCACGCAGGTGCTTTCTGATGGCAAAGCCCACCCAAGGCTGAATATTGTTTTCCTAGCTTCCCTTGCAGCTAGAGTGAGGCTGTGTAATCCCCTTCTGACCTGGGGGCCCTGAGAACTCTGCTGGGGGCGTTTTCTAGGGAAATTTTCCTTCCTGAGAATAGAAACTTGTGAAGATAAACCACCCTTTGGACAGGATCCCGTGAGGAAGACGCGCTGGGAGCTGCACTGCCCCACCTGCTGCCCACGAGGTCAGGGGCCTGAGACTGAGGCCAGGGCTGAGATGAAAAACTTCGAAACGTACCCAAAGCTGTATATTCCCTTGAGCTTTTCAACTAAGAAAACACTGAGGGAATCTATCTACTTCTCTGTATAGTTCAGTATTTAAAATTAAATTCATGCATGTTTAGGAAGACATTTCCTTAGGTTAAAGTGGGTAAGCATGAGAATGATTTTATTTAAGTGGTGAGCGAGAGTCTCACTACCAAGTTCACGCGGATTCTTTGTGAGACGCCTTCTCGCGCAGGAGGACGCTACCCTCCCAGACCCCTGGGCGGCCCACCCCAGGCACCCACCTCCGCACGCAGGGTTATCAGGAAGGTGAGCTGAAGAAAGGAGGTTTAGCTGAGTCACCATGTTGAAGGGGAAAAAAAAAAAAGCACAGACTCTCCAAAGCATCATTTAAAGGGGAGGCTGAGTCACCAAAAGCTGGCCTTAACTATTACCCAATGAGGAGGCTATTAAAAGTGATCCTGAACACAAACAGCAAACTTGGGACTCGTGGCTCTCCACGGTCATGTAACAACTAATTCTGTGGGGCTTTTTCAGTATTCTCTGCAAATGATTGAAGTAATGTCTGTTCTGGTCTCACTCACATGGGGATATGTGGTCAGTTTTGCATGACTATAAATCATAATTCGGAGCACCTGCTCCCTGCACCCCACCGCGTTCACGGGGAAAATCAGAGTCCCACTGGGGGGGGGAGCAGGCTCACTTTGGGTAGCAGAAACACCGTCTGCTGTCGAAGGAAGACACATACAATCAATACTGACTTGGGACGACTGCTTGTTCTACTGAACACAAACAGTAAACCTGGGAGCAGGCCCACGAGTGGGAGAAAGAAAAATTAACTGGTGTGGGCCCCTGAGGCTCCGGGGTCCTCTGCCAGGCAGCACGGATGGACGGCAGCAGCAAACTCTCCTCGGCACCACGGCCAGGAGAGGGGTGCTGCCTATGACACACCCTGGGGCGAGCGGCACTGCCTTTGCGTTTGGGCGGTGGGAGGCAGGGAAACGTTTAAAGGAGCTTCGCAAATGATGACCCAATGTGGCATATGCAGTTCCTAGCAATAACCAGGAAGGTAGAAAGCACATCAGAAGTTCTGCAAGAGATGCCTCACTGACCAACAGACCTGAGAGTAAGACAAATAAGCGTGTTTATTGGCACAAGCTGTTGCGCTCTCGGGTTATTCACTATGCAACATCCCCACGGCAACAGCTGAGCATACGAGGGTCAGCTACTCCACTGGCCTCCTAGACCCCACCCCCTGTTCCTTTCAAGACATGGCTGCAGCAGTGTTTCAGCAGACTTGCCTCTTCTACAGGTTCATTCCCAAAGGTAAACATCCTATAATTTCAATTGGTTGGCAAATGCTTTTGGCTCTATCTTTAAAATATATCCACAACCTGATTACTTCTTGTAACCTCCAAGGCCACCACTAACGACTTTAAGCCACTGTCATCTCTCACCTGTATTACTGTGATTGTTTCCTTACTGTCTTCCTGATTCCAGCCTTACTGTGTCCCTGCTACAATCTATGTTTAACATAACAGCAACAGTAATTCTTTGAAAACTAAAGTCAGATTATGTACTTCTTTGCTCAAAACCCTGCAACGTATTTCTGGCACACCGAATAAAAGCCAAAGCGCTGTCCTCGTCCACCTGCCTCTCTCCCCAGCCTGACCGGACCCTCTGTCACCATCTCCCCAGACCACTCCCCACTGGCTGCCCCCTGCCCCTGCCGTGCTCTCACACATCAACCTGCCGCCACACAGCCTTCAAAATTGAAATCCCCATTTTTGCTTTATTTTATCTATAGCTCTCACTATATATTAGCCATGATATATTTAACTAATTCATTTTCCCCCAGACAAAATGAAAGCTCCAGGTCAGATGTTTTTATCTGTTTGCTTTCATGGTATCTCCCTAGTGCCTCCAGTGGTCCCTGAACACACAGTAGACAATAAGTATTTCCTGATTCAATGAATGAGTATGCAGGATTAAAAAGTTTATATCTTACATTTCTAAGTTCTAAACTAATAATCCAGGCACTTAGACTGGAAGGGGAAGGCTGCAGTAAAGAGAAATGCATATAGTTTCAGTAAGTTATTTTCTTACCTTGATAATAAGTCTTTTCCCTTTTCTCTCACTTACAGCAAGAGAAATAAAACACAGAAATTGTAAGGCCTACAATTCAACATGGTTATATTTAGAGTCCCTGGACTGAAGTCCTACTTTTAAAATTACAGTTGTTTTTTATATTTCTAATATACGAATTTTCACCACCATAGAAGATTTTACCTACAGGGAGTATATTTACATGATATACCAGTTTCTTAAGAAATGAATAAAACATTCAACTGTAAATCTTACTACAGAAAACAATGTACTGAGCAAGACCTAAGATCAATTCTCAGAAGAGCAGGTATGACATTCATCTCTGCTCCAACCATCTTTCTTTCATTCTTTCCCTTTAATGTTCATCTTTCCACCCCAAAATTTAATTAATTATTGCCCAGGGTTCAGATATCACTAAAAATAACCATTTCTGAATATATTTTAGAAAGAGGAGGAGAAAAATGCAAAAAGAGCTGACATTTGTTGCAAGCACTCCTTGAATGGAGCCTGTTTACTTTACCAGCCAGACAACATGCACCTGTCAGCCATGAGAATAAATGACATTAAATTAAAATGAGCACTTCTTATTGTTACCAGACACATGAAATGAATCCAGCCACTAAAGGTTGGTATAAAGCATTTTGCTTCAGTTAACCAAAATCAAGTATGATTTTAAACCAGCACATTTTGCAGTAAGGCTACCCCTGAATCATCTTCCTAAGGGAGCCCAACCCCCCAATAAAACTGAAGAAATGGAAAGATGGGGGTGGGGAAGGGAACCACCTATGCTCTCCAGAACGCCGAGCTGTCGCCTCTGTGAGGCCTGAGGATGAGTGACGCTCTTCTTTCCCCAAGGAGCTCATTACTTGTGTTTCGGAGAAGGCAGTGCTGGCAGACACGAGCTCCCTCATTACAGATTTCCTCTTCTGCGGTAACTCAGCAGACGAACCCCACCATTTCCAAATCCAGCTAACAGGTATCTGCTGGCATACTGCCAATAGAGCCGTTAGATTCATATCAAGTCAAGGTGTCAGTTGTTCTCTAACTCTGATGGTGGCCTGTATATTTTTTATTACTTACTGAGTCCTAGAAGATCAACAGTGGGCTCCGGAGCTTTTTTAGGGCTGGTACTTTTTTTAGGCTCTAGTTGCTGATCTTCTTTCTTCTGCAGCTTTAAAGTAAATCAGATTTATTAATTTTTCTTAAGTCAAACAAGCCTTTTAAGCCCCAATTAGTTATGTATATCTTTAATAAAGTTAGCATAATAAAGTATATGAAGCATAGTGTAATGAAGCCTAGAGCATTTATTATTATATAAAAAAATAACATGATAAACCTTACATATTAGGACCCCAAAAGAATGAGTATACAAGCTTAATGTAACTGTTCTTAATCATTTAAATCCTTTATGTGAAATTACAGGTTTTTTTAAGAACTGCATTTCATATTATAGTAACCCTTGAACAACACGGATTTGGATTACACAGCTCCACTCCTCTGGATTATTTTCAAAAAACGTATTGGAAAATTCTTTAGAGATTTTTGACAAGTTGAAAATTGTTCTTTTCTCTAGCTTACTTTATTGTAAGAACATAATACATTTACCATACAAAATATGTGTTAATCCACTATTTTATGTTATCAGTAAGGCTTCCAGTCAACAGTAGGCTATCAGCAGTAAAGATTGTAGGCAGTCAAAAGTTACATGCAGATTTCAACTGCATGAGGGGTTCGGTGCCCCAACCTTCTACACTGTGGATGGGTCGACTGTAATCAGCTCTTTTGGAATCACTGGGCAAAGGCATAAGCAAAGCCTGGGTAAGCAGGCAGGACTCACTGGAGGCAAAATTTATTTCCAGGGATCAAGACCTGTCTGCACGTGGAGAGGGAGAGGCCGCTCGTGGGAGGGAGTAGGCGGCTTGCCGAGGCCCCCAACAGAGGCCTGAAGTGCGTCTGTGACTAAGAACTTTGCCTCTAAGTCAGGGTTCTGAACCCAGAGACATCAGACACCGTCTGAAGATGCGCTTGGTCATCACACCTGGGGAGGCGTCGAGGGGGCACTAGCTCCTCCTCGCCAGCTACTGTGCAGGTGTACCTGTCGTGTTACACATGTACCTTCCTAATAAGATCTTCTAAAATGAAAAATTCTTCAAGAACATTTGATTTCTACCAGACTTGCTTATAACATGAAAAGTCCTATTTAGAAATATTTTCAGGATATAAAGACAGTAAACCTTGAGCAACAAAAATAATAAACACAAACTATTAATTTGTCCTTTAACTCTATAACATACTAATTCTGTAGTACCTTGCAAAGAATAACAAGATAAAATTAAGATATTTGAAATATAGCTATCATATAAAGTACACAATTTCTTGAAGCCAAGTTTTAGAAGACTGAGAATGCTATTATCCTGTTAAAAGGATTTGGGCGCAGGGATATAATAAAAGTATGGTAACAGTAAATCAAGACCTCGATGATAACATTTTCCTTCATATAAATGTCACCCTTTTGATATTTTTATATTCGGCTTAGACATGCCAATCAGTATATATAGCATCATTTCACTGTAAATTCTCTTGCTACTAAAACCATCACAAATCTGCCTTTCAGTAAATGGAGACTACAGTCAACTGTCAATGGATAAAATTAAACCATCCATCTATAATTCATTAAACAAAACTTTCTAACAAGCAAGAACATAGGTCTAGTTAGATAAAGCAATTTTATAAAACGTAATTTCCTTAGAGTCATATTGAGAAGATGTCTCATTCAAATTATTAAAACTTTTCTTAAGAAGCTTCACTAGCCAATCTTTTTATGTCATAAGGCTTCTCCACAGAATATAACTGAATCAAAGCTACTTAGTTTCCAACTCCTACAATCACCACCATTTCGTATCCCTTTAGATAACAGAAATAACAGCTGAGCCCCTTGACTATGACTCACTATTCTTTAGTTGACTGATTAATGTAGAAAATAGCATTAATATAGAAGAAGAGGGAAGGTATACAGCTTTCTAAGTTCTAGAGGTCATTATCAAAAAATACTCCTTAAAAACTGACTATATGCCAGATTATAATCAGTTTCTACATCCTTTATAATCAGTTTCCTTTAACATGCATAGCGCCATACAGGAAGGGACGTGTAACAAATTATGTTCCACTCTCACTATGAACTTGAGGATGTTAAGGTGACAGAATGTGCCCGAAGGGCCCAGGAGTGGCTGTAGTGGTTGAGCCCGATCTCCTGACAGGGCTCCTGCCCCTGTACCACGGTGCCTTTTCCTTAATAATTTCTATTCATCACAAATTAGATTCAAAAATAAATATCTACCCAATGCTCACTGCACATGGACACTACTACTCTTCCGATGACAGAAAGAGAAGCTTCAGTGAAGGACCCACAAGCTGGTGGAAGGGGCAGGGCAAGTACACAAACACCCTTCACACAGGTCACAGCACAACGACCACATACACGGTGTAACAAGCCATTAAGTTCAAGGTGATGGCGGTCATGGACGACTGGGGCTATCTACTCCGAGGTCTGCAAACACCAGGGCAGGCGGCTACAGGCGGGCATTGGTAAAGGCACCTAGTGAAGAAAACCGAGTGTGGCAGACAGGTCAAGGCGGCGGGCATATCTGATTACCCTATAGGTCTGCGTGAGGGATGTACTGAAAGAAAAATCTGAAAAAATAGCAGGGGCCACACTGTGGAAGGACCTAACAGCCAGCCAGAGCAGGTAACTAGAAGAGCCAGCAATTTTCAGAGAGAGAGAGCAGGGAAAGCAAAGACGCAGCCCATGGGGAGCCAGTCCCCGGGGCCGAGGGGCCCTCCGGGGAAGGGGCCCGGCAGCTCCTGGGTGTGTGACTGTGAGATGGTCAGAGTGACACTTTGGGGGGATTCACAGCTATCTCCTGCCTCATCACACCTTGAAATGCGAAATATATTTTCTATCAAGTGACTCAACAACACACAATGCCCACACTACCTACCTCATCTGGGGGCCTACTGAAATCTTTATAGTAGGATTTAATCTTTACTAAAATATTTAGTAAAAATTTATGAACGATGGATTTCTCAAAAGCTTTGGGTTGTACAGCACGATCTATTCTACTATAAAGTAGAAAAAGAATTCAAAGACTGTGTCATCCATGTTGTTCACCTATTAAAGTCGTCTGACTAGACAATATCAATACATTAATAAAAAGCACTGCCTTGTATTTCTCCTGTAGATTGATAGCTATAATTACTGCTTTTAAAAGCTATTTCATGTGAGATTGCATGTAAACTTGCACATAACTCATTTATTACCAATTGTATTTTATTTATTCAGAATCTTGTTCAAGTTCCCCTTTCCCTTTTTTACCATTCTTTATAATGTACTTACAGACCTTTTCACATCAAGCCTATCAGTACGAAGTGTACTGTTTCTGAATTTAATATTCTTTCTTAAATTACATTTTTAGGATTCAATTTAGAACTGTAATCTACACTTTATTTCTCCAACCATATGGACATCCTTCAGTAAATGGCTCTCTCTTTGGCCTAGGGACACTAATACAGCAAACAACATTTCACTGGGCTGGAGAAGTATCAAAGATTTATAGAAATTTCAAAACAGTAAGGAGCCTTAGAAGACATTTTACTCAATTCATTACGTGATTCATCAAATGCCATTGTAACATCTCTTGCATGGCTGGTCTCTGCCAGCAAAATCTCCAGCACTACAGAATCACTGGGTATGATGCTAAAGGATATTCTATGTATGTATGGACAATGCCAAACATCAGAAAGTCTCCCCTCCAGGCAACTGGTAGCATCTGGCCACTTGGCCCTACTCTCCATGGCGCAGCGTGTGGGGAAGGCAGGTGAGGGAGGGGGCGGGGAGCGCTAACCCTCTCCGCAGCTGAGGCAAACCGCTGATTCACATCAAGCCCTCAGGCACCTAAAATTCCCTGACATTTTCTTTGGTGCTATTATTATATTCAGGGCAGCTGAAATTTGGGTACATCTCAGAATTTTACTTTTATCCAATTTGTTGTTTATAATTTTCTTAGGAACTGATTCTGTTATGCAGTGTCTTAACTAATCTCTGTTGCATGGTCATTTGAAGATCTGAACACCACACTGAGGTACTTAGTAAAACACTGAAAAGAAGAACGCCCAGGGCTGAGCCCTGCCAAGTGCCCGAGCGCAGCGAACTGCCCTTTGGCCTCCCCAGGGCGCAGCGTCCGTCCAGCCCACAGGCGAGCTAGGATCTGCTCCGAGGCCCACCTGTCCACACCTAGACCAGAAAGGTGTCTAAGATCTCAACCAGCAAGCTGAGTCTTGAGGGGAACCGTCCTGAGGAACACACACAGGCACCTAGTGGCTGCTGTTAACACTTTGAAGAAAGTAGTAAGCCTCTAAAAAAATTTTTTTTCATTTGAATTTTGCCTAGCATTCACGTCAAGCTCAATGATACAAGCATTCATAATCCATTTACATTCCCTTTCTACAAATATTGGAATTTGCCTATCTCAAATCTCCTGGTCCCTCCCTGTCTTTGTACAATTTCTCAAAGAATGACCTATAGTTACACACTGGGTCTGCAAAGTTCATCATTATTCAACACAAACATCAAATGCCTATGCTGCTAAGTTTCCTTAAAATAAATTTACTTTGCATAATTTTTGTAAGGATTAAGTAGAATAATATATAGAGAGTCCCTTTCATAGAGGCTGGCATGTAAGAGGTGCTTCCTAAATGGCAGCTGGTGGCGGCTGTGGTGGTACCTTTTATAACTATGTGCCAGAACTTGTAAGCACTCAGAATACAGAGACGACTAAGACATGGCTCCTAATCTTAAGAAGCTTCTATTCTAGTTAAGTAAACAGACACAAACAATTTTCGTTTGGTGTGGATCACTGCAATGATGGAGGTGAAAGAAAAAGAAAGAGAGAGAGAGAGAGAGAGAGAGAGAGAGAGAGAGAGAGAGAGAGAGAGAGAGAGAGAAGGAAGGGAAAGAAGGAAGAGAGAGAGAAAGAGGGAGGGAGGAACTTAGTTCTCTGGAAGCTCACAGGAGTGGACAGGTTAGGCCCACATGTTGTCTGAACGATGTAGTATGAGATGGGTGACCTTCTGTCCCAGTTTGCTCAGGACAGCTCCGATTAAATACCTGCTATT